TTTGGTTTTTTTTAGGTATATGGGACAGGTGTAATAGCAAATAGACTCTAGTGGGATGCCGGGGTCCTTGGGTAGTGGCAGACAGTGGTCCCAATCTTTGACTTCCCTCACCACGAGAGACCCAGATGCAGGTCCTAGCTCCTGACTTTGGCCTGGCCCAGTTGCTGGCTGTTGCTGGCATCTGGGCAGTGAACCAGCAGATGAAAGCTCTCCCTTGCCCACGTGCTCCCTGTAATGCACCTGGAAATGCAGCGAAAGGTGGCCCAAACGCTTGGGTTCCTGCATTTATGTGGGGGGCCTAGAAGAAGCTCCTGGCTCCTGGTTTCAGCCTGCTCCCGCCATGGGGATGAATCAACAAAGGAAGATCGCTCTCCTCCTCTCTGTAACTCTGCCATTCAAGTAAATTTTATACAAAAGAATTGTCAATAACAACCAATCTTGGACACAGGGCCACTTCCTATTTCCCCTTTCCTATAGCTGACAAAATCCAGGAATGATAGGTAACCTAAGGGCGGCGCCCCCTGAGAACCTCCCCCTCCTCCCTTCTCTCTCTGCCCCAACCCCACCCCACCTGCCAATCACCTGTGGTCGTCTCAGTCACCAGTCCCTGGGGACCACCCCAGCCCCTCTCCCGCACCTGAAGGCTCAGCTGAGTTGTATAAATGAGCCTCCAAGTGTGTTCCCTTCTTCCCCTTTTTCCTGGCTCTCCCCTATCCTCCTCCATCTTGCCCCCTTCCCCTCCCCTGGCAGCCCCCCATCCTGCCACTTCCACCCCCGTTCTGGTCCCTATCCTTTTGGAATAAAGGCCCTCCTAAGCACCTCACCGCATCTGGGATTTGGACCTGCAGTGAACTAATCGTAAAAATCTTCCTTGGCTGCAGGAGTCAGCTGCGTTTTAAGAACCTCAAGTGTGTTTAAACCCTAACAACTATGGTGTTGGCAACTGCTGGAGCTGTTAACTGTTCATTCCTGGTTCAATAACCAAAGATTGTTTCCCTGGGAGAATTCATATGGCTGGTCTGCCCCAGAATGCTCTAACACTACCTCAGCCCTTTGGAAAATGGGCCGAGAAGCAACGGACACACTAGTTCCATAAACTCTGTGTAATGCATCTACTGTTTCACCATTCTTCTACCCTAAATTCACCATAAATTTTATATCTGTTCTTTTTCCAATCTCAGAAGTCATACTGTTGTCATAAGGGCTCTTTACAAATTGGTATCTGATCCTTCTAAGTACCTGACACTTGAAGCTGCTCACACGTTCCTGCAAGCCGTGTGGGCTTATTTTGGTACAAAGGCACCTGAAATGCATGGACAGTCTCCTCAGATGAACTTCCCATGAACCTGCCCCTTGGACAGCACCAAGGCGAGCCCGTGTCATTCTGCTACCTCTAGACCACACACCGGACACCTCTGCAGCAAGCGGGTACAGGCTCAGCACTTCTCTAGGAACAGATTTTTAAAAACCAACAGCATGAAACTTTAAGTTCCTTTTCCCTGACCCAGCTCTTAGCTCCTTTTTTTTCCACAGAAAAAGAAAGGCCACGAGGCAGACGCTTGGTCCTAGCAGTTGGGACTCTGTTCAGAGGCCCACTCCCCAGGTCCTAGGTCTAGCCTTCAACCAATGCAGACCCTCGACTCACTGAGTCAGGGCCCCTGTGGGGGGCACTCGGAGGCATCCTCAGCTCCCAGGCCCAGGCCTCCGTGCCATTTAGGGAGTGAAATCAGCAAACAGGAGGGTTCTGTCTGCCTCTCAAAAACAAATTTAGTTTCACAAATTCTCCTTTCTAAGGGCCACCCCTGGCCCTGGACTCTATCCCTTCCTGCTGGGGTCCATGCAGTGTGAGGATGACAGAGGCTGTTGGCAAGGCCGTGAGGAGCTTCCAGCTGTGTGGCAGGCAAGGCCTGGCAGATGTCACTCCGACCACCTTGACGCAGTCCCACCCCCTTTGCATGGACACTCAACCACCCGACTAAGAACTCTGTACTCCGTTGAGGCATTGTTGTCTGCCCCTCTGGGATGGTTTTTGCAACTGATGTGAGCCTGGGAGTTAATATTGCTGATCATGTCTTGGTGAGTGGGCCTTTATCAGTTCACACACAGGAGTACAGTTAAGCCCATGCTGTTTCTGGACACCTTATTGTGTGCCTAACTACTGTCCCAGAATCTGGCCCAGACATGCAGTAAGTCTTCTGGCAAAGGGATTGATAAGTATCCTAAAAGTTAACGAAAGTGATGGGAGTATAAGCTGAAACTGCTATTAGTATGACGCTAAAGGATAGCCTGTCCTTGCAACTCTTTGCAGCATAGGAAATGTATGTTTTTTTTTTAGCTAAAGGAATTATAGGGTGCATGATAAATATCATAGATATGCTTTTAGTTATTGTTTGACTGTTTATGGGGTTGTAGAGCTTACAGGGGATTTAATGTTTGAAATTTTTTGTCTTGAATCTTTTTCCTTTTGATGTATTTCTCCCATTAAGTGATAGAAAAGTTAAAAGATAGTAAAAAAGAGAAGTGTAGTGGGAAAGTATTACTAATTAGTACGTAATCACACGTGTCTTGGCCTTGGAGTCCTGGCTGTAGCCTAACGTATACTACTGAAGAATGAATAGTGGCTTGCTATGAAAAAACTGATTACAGTAACTTACAAAATTATCTTTAAAAGCACCTGGTTGACCATGAAGTAAAAAATTAATTAATCGAACTTCTTTGCATGCCAGCTTGGTCATGAAATTAAAAATACAACAATCAAACGTGTGTGCACAAGTTTGTGATGTGTCTGAGTAAAAGGACAGCTTCTTGAACTGTGGGCAGAGGGCACAAAGCGACAGTCTCCGTGCTCCTGGAGCTGGCCTCCGGCGCCTTCCTCCTGAATGGGCCTCCCACCCCACATTTCTACTGTTCCCACTGGAGAAGCTGGCCCAGGTCTCCAACATCACACAGCTGATGGCGACCAAACACCCTAAGTCAGGGCCGGAGAGCTCTGGCCTCCGACCCCAACCTCTCAATTCATACCCCTACCTCTGGCTTCATCAGATTGTTCAGAAAGGAGTAGAGAAACCCCTCTGTGAACACTTAAAAACGCCCTACTGGAAAGTGAAAATGAAACCATCCGCTGGCCTTGATCAATGCTCGGCTATTTCAATGTCTGCAGTTTCTGACCGCCCAGCTTCCCATCCGCTTCCCACCTCCCGCTTCCCCCAATTCTGAGACAGGCCATGGAGCGGACAGTACAGCGTGTCCCCGCTCCCCCTCGCCAAAGGCAACACTGAACTGGGGACCCTCCCAGCCTGCCGCTTTGAAGAAAACTGGCCAAGTCGGCCGCTGAGTTTTCGGCTCTCGGACGCCAAGGAACCCCCATCCCACCGCCACCCCAGGTTCTGCTCAAGGGTGGCCTTGCTGCTCCTCAGCCCGCGTCATCCGGGAAGGGAGCCCTCCCAGCGCCAGCGTCCCCGACCAGGGCCGAGAAAGGCCTTTGGGGGCAGTGAGCAGGGGACGGTTGGAGTGACCGTTGGCGGTTGATGCTGCAGGCCGCGAGCGCTGCGGGCGCCGGGGCCCGCTGGACCAGGAAGGGGCACCACCTGCCGCGGGCGCCCTCACCTCTGGGGACCGAGGGGGACGGAGGCTCAGGGCTGCGGGAAGGCCAGGGCGCTCGGCGGCTCGAGGGCGCAGGGCCGGAGCCCAGGCACGTGGGGCTCCCGCGACTTACAGGCCGTCCCCGACGTTCCAGTGGGCTCACCCAGTCAGGAACGCCCCTTCTGTCTTCAGGATTTCTTCATCTTACCTTCCTTCCTACGGGCTGCGCGTTCCGCAGTGAGACGAGACGCCATCTTGAACGCAGCTCGCCAGCTTCCCACCTTCCGGTTGCCCACCAATCCGCCGCATTCCTCACACCGTCCCCACCCAGCGCTCCCGGACTCACCTGATATTTAAAGGGCCTCTTCCTTCACCCCGCCCCTTCTGCGCAGCTGGATAGACCTTGCTTAACCCTGGAAGATTTTGGTTGCTTCAGAAATCTGTAGGAGCAAGTCTCGACCGGCCCAGCCGTCCACCGGGAGCCAGCAGACAGGCCAATTTGAATTTGTAGATGACTGCAAAACCTGGCTCTGCAGCCGAGGAAGCCGCGAGGGCCAGAACAGGTAACCTGACTTGAAAAACTTCACTCTGGGTTGGGCCACTATCTTCTAACATAAAGTGACAGAAAAAGACGATTCTCAGGAAATGTAGTCATTTCTCAGGAAATGAAGCCCAGAGTGGGAAGCATTTTATGAAAAATCAACATCTCCTGGTTTCCTTCTGCCAGAATTCCAGAATGCAGGAACAACTGCAATGCCTAGAAGGTTAAGAGGGGATTCTGCAGTTGCCAGATGGAGTACCATACTTGAGTAGCCCTCTCCAACCTGGCCCTGCTGACCAGTTCCCAGCCATGTCCCTACCAGGTCTCCAGTCACTAACTTCCCAGCCATACCCACAGATCATTGCAACACAATCCCTACTAACCTACCCAGTGCTGATGCAGTGGCTCAATCCTCACCTTGTAAGCACTGGAATCCATGAGTGCTGGTTTGTGTCCCACCTGCTCCCCACTTGTGGTCTTGGGACCCTGTGCCCAGCCAGGAGATGACTGGAGGAAGGTCCTGATCAGCCAGCCATGGCTGCTGTGAGCACTTGGAGTGAGCCAGTGAAGGGAAGATCTGTCCTCTCTACAAACTAGACCCGCCTTTCCAATAACAATAAAATGCTAAGGTCATGTCCCTCTAAGCTTCCAGAAAAAGGAGCTACCTGCCAATGCTAGTCACACAGTGGCAGACACAAAGGCTGTCTGTCACCCACAGACTAGATTTACTAGGCATATTAATGCAAATAGTTACCACCTACACATGCGCCAGCATTCTCATTTACTTTCTGCACACTAAAAAGTCCCAGAGTAAAGCACTACTGGATACATGAACCAATGCCCAATAATCTGACACGAAATTAAAAAACAGATGCACTTTCTTTAGAAACTGTTATTTATTTTCCGTCAACTTCACATCTGCTTCCAAGAGTGCAGATCACTCAAGACCACTCGGTGGTTGTTCCTACCCATTCAGTGGCCTGAGCCGTGGGGGCTGCAGACCAGTCTTCAGTGGAAGGCTGGGCACTCCAGTCTTCTGTTAAAAAAAAAAAAAAAAAAAGGAAACGTAAAGCCTTCAGCTCTATCAACAAAACAGCCATCTTGCAACAGTGCCATCACACACACGTTCCAAAGGACAAAGGTCATGTTTCCCAAAGCGCCAGGCTGCACACCTGTTTGATACATACCAGTAGGGAACTGCTGGATGGGCACAGAAGGCACTTGCACACCCTCAGACCAGTCTGTAACCTCGGGCTGGGTAGCCGTGAACTCAGGAGCGGGCGCGGTCCATTCACCCTGGAACTCCTCCTTGGTCACAGCCTTTTCAGCTGCAGCCTGCTCTTCTTTTTCAATCTAATTTCGAAATAAAACCAAAAAAGCGTAGAGGCACTGAGACCTTGCCCTCACGAGCAGAGCACAGGCTCAGGTGCAGGAGCGCAGCAAGCTCACCTCTTCAGGATCGCGGTAGAAGTAGAGATCAGGCATGACTTCCCACGGGTGTTCACGGGAGATGGTGCCACGCATGCGCAAAACCTCCCGGGCCAGCATCCACCACATCAAACCCACGGAGTGGGCTCCCTACAAGAGCAACAAACCGTTAGCAAATGACACCCCAAACTAGCTCATCCTACCTGTGCCTACATCATCTTGGTCCCCTGGATTACAAACCAAAACAATCAACACTAACCAAACACTGAAATCCGAGAATTAGAGGCATAGATGGCTAATCCTGACTGCAGTACCAGCATGCCAAATGGTCATGGCTGCTCCAGTTCTGGTCCAGCTTCCTGACAATTAACAGCCTGGTAAAGAAACAGAATGACCTGGGCCCGGTGCGATGGCGCAGTGGTTAATGTCCTCGCCTTGCACGCCTGGGATCCCATATGGGCGCCGGTTCTAATCCTGGCGGCCCCGCTTCCCTTCCAGCTCCCTGCCTGTGGCCTGGGAAAGCAGCCGATAACAGCCCAAAGCTTTGGGACCCTGCACCCGTGTGGGAGACCCGGAAGAGGCTCCTGGCTTTGGATCGGCATAGTATCGGCCCGTTGTGCTCACTTGGGGAGTGAATCATCGGACGGAAGATCTTCCTCTCTGTCTCTCCTCTATGTATATCCGCCTTTCCAATAAAAATAAAATAAATCTAAAAAAAAAAAAAAAAAAAGGAAAGAAACAGAGTGACCTGACCTAAGGTTGTCCCCTGTGCCCTCCTTTAGAGAGCAGAGGAAGCTCCTGACTTCCAGACTCAGGCGCAAGTGAAATAAAACAGAAAGTGGGGGCCGGCATGGCAGTGTAATGCCATCTGCACACTGGCATCCCAGGGGATGCTCCACTTGGGTTCCAGATACCTGCAGGTGATGACCCAAGCAGTTAGGACCCTAAACAAACAAGGGAGACTCTGAAGAACTCCTGGTTCCTTGCTTCAGCCTAGCACAGCCCCGGCTGTGGCAGCCTCAAGTGAGAAGCAGAGCCCAGGTCTCCTCACGCTAGTGCTCCCTTTTCAACAGACACAAACAAAAACTGTCAAGCCAAGTTACACCAGGGGCCCAGGTACAGCAAGAAGCGGAGAAGGCAGAGGAAAACGGCGATTTCCCAAGCACGCCTCCTCACGCAGGTACACAGCAACATCACACTTGTAGCAAGGATTACTATCCAACCCCACTCATGAGGCCAGGGACCCTCGTGGTGTTGACGAAAAGCTTGCCGCTCATGTAGCACACTACCTACACTTGGGAGTTCATCGGCCGACCGGCAGCCTCAACTCCAAGCTCTAACAATGTGCACAGGGACATGGCTTCCCCTCCTGGCAAAGTCCACTTTGGTTTCATGCCATTACCTTGTTGTTGCATGGGATAGCAATGTCCACGTAGCGCAGAGGAGAGTCCGTATTGCACAGAGCAATGGTGGGCAGGTTCACGTACGACGCCTCCGTGAGGGGCTGGTGGTCGGCCCTGGGATCTGTCACCACCAGGAGCCGCGGCTCCCGGAAGGCGGCCTGGATCTGGTTAGTGAAGGTGCCAGGAGTGAAGCGGCCAGCAATGGGAGTAGCTCCAGTGGCAGCAGCAAACTTCAGCACAGCCCTCTGAAGGCAGAGGGAGAACAGTCAACACCAGTCAAGTGGCTGTCCTGTTCCCGGCATACCAACCCCAGCTCCCTCATCACAGAAAGCAGCCTGGTTCCAGGACCCCAAGCATCTCCAACAAGGACACCAAGGCCCCCTGTGTCCCCTACAGGGATCAGCGGGTGCTTCAGTCCCTCCCCCCCCCCCCCCCCCCCGCAGAACCCCTGGGGCACAGGCCTCGTTCCTCAGGGCTCTCTCTCCACTCCCTTTCCTCATCTGGACATCCACCTCTTTACTATGCATGATCCTAAAGGACAAGGTTCAGGCCCCGCAGAAACTTAAGCCCCCCCCCAAATTAGCCTGAATGTAACCTGCCTTATTGGACAGTCTCAGATCTCTCAAGTTAAAGGGTTTATAAAAACTTGGTTGAAAACCCTTACAAACCAATAAACCCAGTTTTCTCAACAGGAAAAAAAACAAAATTGTGACCAAAAAAGACAATTTTACTCAGTTATAAATTACAAGACTCTTTTCCATCCGCCTGTAAACCTCCGCACACCGGAGGGCCCCTCCAGACCTGGCCAGTGTTCCGGGAGGAGATCACGCTGACATCAGCAGGGTTCTCGATGGCCACGATGGCCCGCGCCGCCAGCAGGAGCTTCTCCCAGGTCCTCTTGAGGTTGATGATGTAGATGCCTAGGGGAGGACGCCAGGACATAGGAACCGGGCCCCAGCGGGCAGACATCCTTCTGCACCTTGAGGGGATGTGGCAGCGGGTACTATCAACCCCAGTCATAGAGCCGAGCTCTCGTGGTGTTAGCGAAAACCCTGCCGTTGCTGTAGCACACCTCCGACACTCGGAAGCTCACAGGCCACCAAGGCCTCCGCCCGAGCTTTAACAGTGTGCAGTGGGACCCAGTCAGCAGGTCCTCCTCCTGTCCCCTGGGGTCCTGGCAGGTTTCTTGCTACTCGCACCTGCACCAATGCCAGGCAGGTTCATTGTAAAACTTCTCCTGGGCTGCCAAGAGGCTGGAATCCTTTACTGACCTCTTATTTCTAATAGTAATCGCCTAACGAATGCTGTCCACACTCATGCCCTAACCTACCTTCCTTCTAAGCCACAATCTCATTTCTTGTCCTAATTCCTTCGGTACTCAGTCAGATAAGCTCGAGCCATAACTGGCAGTGCACCTCATTATGCTAACCCTCCACCTGCAGTGCCTCTTTTCCATATGGGTACTGTCAATTCATGTCCCAGCAGCCCAGGATAGCAGCCTACACTCACATGGTAAGACCTGCAACAAGCTCCTAGCTAGGCTCCAGCACTTGTGACCAGTTTAGGAGTGCAGAGATGGAAAGAATATTCTCTGTAAATCTGCCTTTCAAATAAAGATAAATAACTTTAAAAAAATTCAGTACGTTAAGTCATTTGAACTCCCTGTATTATCCATCAAATGGATATTATCCATATTATCAATATGGATATCCATCATTCTGTCTTCCATCAAAAGAGAAAAACGCAACGACTAACCATCACTTTTCCTTTTGTAGATGTACTGCTCCATCTGGAAGTCGAGGTTGGTGCCTCCCAGGTGGGTTCCTGCAGCCAGGAACTTGAGGACATCCTCCTCCTTCATCTGCAGGACGTCAAGGGCTCCGGACATTGCGACAGCTTCCCTGTAAAGTTACGCCGGGAATCTGAGGGAGGAAAACGGTTAACAGTTACAGGCCAGCCGAGTGGGCCGGTCCCTCCATCTAGGGCTCAACTGGCTGATTCTCTGCCTGCAGGCGTCAGGATCCCAAGTGCAGCGGACCTGCACCCACGTTGGGAGATGGTAAGCTCCCAGCTCCTGACCGCTTCAGCTCCAACCACTGTGGCTATTAGAGGAGTGAACCAGCGGATCGAAGATTTCCCCCCCGTTTCTCCTTGTCCCCGTGAATATTCCTAAGATGATTAAAAAACAGACGCACATACACAGAGCCTACATGCAGCGTCCAGTAGTGCAGCCACGGGACACAAAATGGTAGATAGGCGCCAGCTTGGCCCTGCTAAGGCAGTACGATCCGCAGTGTGCATCAAAGGCAACGCGAGAAGCTAAGGGTCCAAGACCAAGGGCAGTGAGCGCACGTGCGGGTCAGGCAGGGCGGGCCTTGGCACTCGGGGGTCACGCTCTCGCACCTCCACACCCACTTCTCAAAACCCCAGCAACAGCCTGAGTCCCCAGCCGGCAGGGCAGAGGGCCAAGCCGACCAGCCCAGGGCGCCGACCTCGCTGGGCCCTCGCTCGGCTTCCCGCACTCGCCCAACCCAGCCCCGAGCCCGGCGGCCGAGGGTCCGCCTTCGGCTCCCGGGGCAGGCGTGGGCCGGAACGGGACAGTGCAGGCCCGAGCCCCGCCACGTGCGGGCCGCCGGCCGGGGACCAGGGGCCCGCCAGATCGCACATAGATCCAGCCCGATCGACTCTCCGCCCCATTTCCATGCCCCCTACGAGGGCGGGAAGGATGCTGGGAGAGGTGCTCGGGGAGAGACGGCGACCCCGGGAGCAGCTCACCAAAGACAACGCCGTATAGAGCCCTCGCCAGGAGCGCGGAAAGAAAGGGAGGGCGGAAGTGACGTGTTTATATAAGCCGTCGGCAACCAATGGCAAGGGAAGGGGACAGGAAGAGAGGCGGAGCCGGAGGGCTGAGGTTCCGGGGCGGGGCGAGCGCGGCGGAAGGGCAGCCTTGGGCGTTCGGAATCGGGGCGTTTGGAGTCGTGGGGCTGTCCCCGTTGCCCGCCGCCCTGTGCTCGATCGTCCCCGTGCCCGTCGTGGCACACCCCGCGGGCTTGATCCTGTCCTGCCTGGCCCTCCAGCCCGCCGCTTGTGCCCGTGAGACGAGCGGCAGCTTCCTGGGCCGCAGTCGCCTTCCCTGATTTTTTTGGAGATCAGTCTAACGGCACATAATCAGTTACGAGTAGGTTTTGTTTTATTTTTAAGGCAAAAGCACGAGACTGCGTGGCTGAATGCATGAAACTTGGAAGGCAGGGGTGCTGGATCAAACGTGGAACACCTGGGACTTGAACCCATTACACAGTGGCTTAACTTGCTGTGCCATGCTTGTCCCTAGGTGTTTGGTTTCTCCACAAAATCCTATTTTGAAGGAGTGTGACAGAAAGGGATTCCACCGGCCTGGCTCATTCGCTAGATGACCACCATGGCCAGTACTGGGCCAGGCTGAAGGCAGAAGCTTCATCCGGGTCTCCCATATGAATGACAGGGCTCAAGCACCTAGGGAACCCTCTTCTGCTTTCCCTGGAAGCAGAGCAGCCACAACAGGAACAGGTGGCCCCGTAGGAAGCTGGTGTTCCAGGCCATGGCTTTACCTGCTATACCAGAATATCAGCCTCAGGAAAAGTGCTTTATTACAAAACAATTCCAGGTAATAAATGTGGAAGCCACCAGGAGGAAATAACTTGGCAAGGCCACACTGTCAGTAGGTGAAAGGTTGACAGCAGCTTGGCAATGGAGGGGTTAGGTGGTCACCACACAAACCAGCTTACCCATCTCCGTGTCAGTGAAAAAGCCATAGCTGAACCCTTGGGGCACCCTGCTATGACGCAAGCCATGGCATGTTCTGTTTTTGGCTAGGAAATTGGACAGATCTGAATTTAATCCAACTAGCTGAGCCAACACCTAGTTTATGGGAAATGATGTGACACAGAAACAAACTAGAACTACTGAGAAAGCAGCAGAGTGCTATCCTGGGTTAGCAAGAAACTTAAAAAACTAAAACCATATATGGACATTTTCTTGGGCTCTGATACAAATAAGCCAACTAGAAAAATCATTTCTGTGGCATAGTGTTAATCTGCCTATGGACTCCAGCACCCCAGGAGCTCCAGTACAAGTCCTGGCTGCTCCACTTCCAACAAAGCGCCCTGCTGATGTGCCTGGGAAAGCAGAGCAAGATGGCCCAAGTGCTTGTACCCTGGCCATCTATGTGGGAGATCTGGAAGAAGCTCGTAGCTCTGACCCGACCCAGCCCCATTCATTGTGGCCATCTGGGGAGTGAACCCGCACAAGCAAGCTTCTCTGTGTAACTCTGCCATCAGGGCAGGATGAATGGATGCCCTGTCCACAGGCTGTTCGAGTTTGCCATGTGGGGTGACGACATTTAATTTTCAGTGATGTACCTTGAAATGTGCAAGGACGTGGGGCAGTCACCCTGCTCACCTTTGAAGAAAAGAAAGTGTGATATGAAAGTGGTGAGAAAACTAGCAAGTGTGGCAAATTTTTTTTCCTTCAACTTTTATTTATGCTGAAAGAGTTACGGAAAGTGGTCTTCCATCACTAGCTCACTCCCCAGATGGCCAGCGCTGAACCAGGCGCTGGACCAGGCCGAAGCCAGGAGCCAAGAGCTTCATCCAGGTGTCCCATGTGGGCCATCTTTGGCTGCTTTTCCCAGGTCACAGGGGAGCTGTATCAGAAGTGGAACAGCTGGGATGGGCGCTGCTGGTGTTGAAGCCTTACCCATCGGGCCACAACACTGGCCTCCGGTGTAGCAAAATCTTGACAGTTGTTCCACGTGAGTGAGGGAATGAAGGCCCAAAAGCACTTTCGGTCCTGCTGTGACTGCCCGAAACATTTCCTTGTACCATATTTTCAGGAAGCAGCTGGAAACCTTGGCTTTGCTTCCTTGGCTCACATCCTAGGAGGCCTTATCTTCGGTCACCAGGGCACCGTTTTCCTCCCCAGAGGTCCACCTCTAAGAAATTTGAGTCTGAAGCAGCCAAGATCACTAAGAAAAAGCAGTGCAGGGCATGGTTCCCACAGCACACTACAGCTCGCAAGCTGGCTTCTTACTGAGCTTACAGACAGGCTGCAAGACAGCAAAACCTGAGTGCGAGAGGCCCTGGGTAGCACTCAGGGTGGCCTGCCACTGGACACAGGGCCCACTCAGTATTAGAGGAAATAAGACTGCTGACGGTATCATATTTGCCTGTCCCTTGCAAAACAAATGAAAGCGCCAGTCAAGTCCAAGGCCTTGTCTCTCCTGCACTGCAGGCCTCCTGCAGCTCCCTGAGCTCAGGATACTGGTGGGTCAGAGAAGCCTGCAGAAAGGACACGGAACGCCCTGCCAGTGTCCAGGTTTCCAGAAGGCAGCTACTCCATGCAGCATGCCTTCCCCCAGCTGCACAGGTCACAACACTGGAGCCTTGGGTGCTCGACGGGATCAGGAGCCTGCCCTACCCTCTCCCATAGCTCTACCCCAACTCTCATTTTGAAAAGAACATTTTAACCCAAAACCAAAAGTATTGGCTGCAAGCTTATAACTTGCTAAGTAAACTTAAAACGTTTGTGTATATATATCATAAAGTGTTTCACTTTATTTCTCTGAAATATAGTTGCAGAAAAATGCCAGAACAACTTAGAATTACAATAGTGCAGGGCCAAAGTCAAAGCCACTTTTCTGGCTGGGAAGCCACTGTCCACATTGCAGAGCCTCCGGGAAGCACTCTGGAGCCAGGTAAATAACGATACCTGCTCTTCCTCATGTCACCTCAGACACTGTGGAGCTTGGCGACAGGGCCTCATTCCTCAGATTACTGCTGGCGTCTGACATGGCAGGTGGCCTCCAGCTTCTCTGGCCCAACAACACAGGCAAGCAGCCATCGTGGTGCAGGTGATGGCTGAGGTTGAGATGCCCAACAGAGCTCTTTCTGGCAACGCCTTTGCACGCAGCCTCCCGGCATGCAAGCAGGCTGAGTCAGGTCCATCTGCTCTCTCCCTGGACAGCGTAGTTGAGACAATGACCTTCCCGCCTGTATACCAGGCAGGATTCCATTTGACTCCATGGGACTGAGATGAGGCAGCCCTTGGCAGAAAAAGCAACCAGGATGATAGATCCCACCCTGCCCCCAGTCCTTTCGTCAGGACTTCAGGCCCATCTTGGCCATCATCTCTTCATAGACTGTCCACGCCATCGCTGCCATCAGAGTTCTGCGGAGGGCTCGGGGGACCCCGCCTTGGAAGAAGCCACGCAGCCCGTAGTCCTACGGTGAAAACAAACATCAGAACTGCACAATGAACTGTCTCCTGCCATCAGAGGGATGGGTTCTGGGTTACACTCTGAGTCTTCCTGTCTAATCTAAACTTCATGTCAAATCTATGAGTGAAGGGGCCAAGGACAAGGACATAACCAACAAACTTTTTTTTTTTTTTTTGCATAGTTGCAATGCTCAATCTTTTTAGCCCTAGTCTTATCTATAGGAATCTCTTAGCTGGCAACTTGCAGACAAGGCTGTCAGGTCCAGCTGCACAGTCTGTACACTCTCCCAAAACACTGGTAACAGATGGAGTGCAGTTAGTCGTCTGTTTCTCAAGCAAGGGATCCTGGCTGCAGTCGGAAGGAAACAGCATCTGGCCTGCTCGCCGTTTGTCTGTCAGGTGTGTGCGTCTTTTTATGATCCACTGTTCTCAGCGGAGCTCTCCTTCCATAGGAACTAAAGACATAACACCTCTTCATCTTTGCTCAGAGTCTGGACTGAGTGGTAACTTCACATATTCCAAAGAATACACTAGAACCACTAGTATTATAAAACTTTACGATTTTATAGTTAAGAAGAGACAAACCCATATGCTGTAAAGAATATCAGATGCACAAGCTCACACTGAGCTCTCACAGGAATATCTGGTTTGTCATAACAACCCAGGCTTTAAATACTGTACTCTAGTATACACTTTATGTCTACTCTATTGGTTATCTTCAATAATGTTATTTGTCCATTTGTATTAGAGCAGATTGCTAGAACCAAACTGCGTGGGGTTTGTTTGTTTTTTTTTTTTTTTTTTGTCTTTTCTAACTTACGTTTTGTCCCTGGTCCTTAGTACTGTGTCCACTAAGGTGCACTGATCCAGCAGGTGTGAGTGGAGGCCAAGTTAGGGTTTGAGTGTGGCTTGTTCCCCACACACTCATGCTGGGCTAATGGTGCAGAGAAGGAAAAACTTTGCTTGACCACGGTGCTTAAGGTGAAGTTTCCGACTGACATTTGCTGGCTTCCTAAGTGGGGACAAGCACAGACAGGGCACCTGTGCACATTCCCTGTCTCTTGCTGTGTGATGTCCTCTGCTTTGGGACGTTGCCAGCAAGAAGGCCATCATCACTGAGGTCCCTGTCCCTTGGACCCTCTAGAACCACTAGCTCAAATAAACCTCTTTTCTTGGTTCTGCTAGCCTGCCTCAGGTATTTTGTTATGGCAAAGACAAGCAGACTCATTCAGCCCAGCCATCCGCGTGCTGAAGCACAGGAGATGCTAATGCAGGCGCCTGCCCCTCACCAACAATGGAATGTATGGTTCTCAACTTGAGCAACCCTGGAGACTTAAAAACAAACAAGCAAACAAACTCCTGAGGCAGGGCTCTTACCCTGCCAAGCTTCTGATATAACTGGCCTATATTTTGTGCTGGGAACGAAGACAGTTTTCTCCAGATGACTCTAAGGTGAATGGAGCATGTCAACGATTGCTTTTGAGACGGATCCTTAGTCAAAAGAATCAATACTTATCCCACTGTCTTACTTTGAAAATGAGGATCACTGCTTGGCCAATCCATTGAAACTTCATCGGGGAGAGCTGCATGTGAGTTTTGATCACATCTGCAGGTTGAGTTACCAGTGAGGCCAAAATCCCAGCAATTATCCCACAGCCAAAATTCACAACAGGAGTAACGGCTGCATCCAGCTGGTCTGAAATCAAACAAACAGAATACACAGCTATAAATCTAACACTTCACTTTTTCTTGTCAACAAGCTACCCACTCATTCTTGTTTTGTTTTCGGTTTTTGTTTATTTTTCTTTATTTTACCCACTCATTCTTACCAAATAATTTCAAAAAAGCTAACAATTTAACAGCCAAAAAAGGATCTTGTTTATTTGAAAGGCGAAGAGAGAGACAGGCAAGCAGAATCTTCCATCCCCTAATTTGCTCCCTAAATGACTGCAACAGCCAGAGGTGGGCCGGGCCAAAGCCAGGAGCCAGGAATTCCATCCTGTCCCCCACACAGGTAGCAAGGGCCCTAGTGTTCAGGCCACTTTCTGCTGCTTCCCAGCTGTGGCAGCAGGAAGCTGGAGCAGAAGCAGCATTCTTTTGTGTTATGTCAGTATCATCCACCTCAAGGATTAAAGTTAAAAATACAATTTACCAATGTAAATGGGCCACTGGAGGCAGGAAAGCACGTGGCTATGGTTTGGACATCATCTGCATGCCACAAGTCCACGTTACAGGCTTGGTCTCCAGGTAAAGCTCCCGGGAGATAATGGAGGCTGTCACTGCAGATTTGGTCTTGCCAAGGATTGAAAGGAATCCTAAGCTTGTGCCCAGTTGCCTTCAGCCTTGCTCGCCCTGTGACCCACCCCCCCCACACCCCACCCACCATGGCCATTGCTGCCCTCACCAGAGGTCAAGCCAATGAGACCACCCACCTCGTGCTTGAACCTCCAAAATGGTGAGCTCAAGGAGCTGTTTCTCTTGACACACACAGCTGTCTCAGGCATTTTACTGGAGTAACGAAATCTGACTAATAAAAACCCTTTTACAACTTCTACTACAATTAGCAGTTCAGGCAAGGATCAAAACCAATGCTAAAACATCTCTGAAGAGAGGATTCAGTCTTCTCCTCACAAGGATACTAAGAGATTATAAAGGGAAAAAAGTTTTCAGTAGATACCTGGCAGATACTACCTTATCCAAATGATAAAGAGAGAACTACAGCATCTACAATATCATCATATTCATAATCCACTTAGCTCAGAAAAAAAATCATATTCTATTGTGACTTTTTCACAAATTTAAAATTATTTCTAGTGGAGGCGGGGGGAGGGCGACATGATAGCCTAGTGGCTAAATCCTCGCCTTGCATGCGCCGGGATCCCACATGGGTGCTGGTTCCTGTCCCAGCTGCTCCACTTCCCATCCAGCTCCCTGCTTGTGGCCTGGAAAAAAGCAGTCGAGGATGGTCCATAGCCTTGGGACCCTGCACCTGCATAGGAGACCCAGAAGAAGTTCCTGGCTCCTGGCTTCGGACTGGCTCAGCTCCAGCCTTTGTGGCCCCTTGGGGAGTGAATCATCGGATGGAAGATCTTTCTCTCTCTCTCTCCTCCTCTCTGTATATCTGACTTTGCAATAAAAATAAATAAACCTCTAGACAGGAGGTCCTTCCTAGCCCAACAGGACCTCCTGGTACCTAAAGTGGAGTGGGCCTGGCATTGTCAGCTCCACCCAAACAGAGGGCTCAAAACAATGTGAGCTAGGAACAAAGCAAGGGAAACGGATAGATCACTTTCCTTTACATTTGTAATGTAGCAGATTTTTCTAAACTTGCTTGCCAAAAACCACATCAGGTGCTCCTTAAAAAATACAGGCGCCCAGGATGGATCCCAAAGGCTTCAATCTGGGAGCCCTCGGGCGAGACCCCACAACCCCAGAACAAACCCTGGGAAGCACTCTGGTAGGACCCCTGCCCAGCAAGCTCCATTCTCGCCCCCCGCCCCACGTTACGGGTGTATCCGTACTCTTCCCCTTAGCAGGGCTCAAACTCCAAGGGCAGGGAGCAGGCCAGTCATGTCCACCTTCCCAACCCAGCCCCCAGCCCAGTCCCTGACACAATGCTAACACTCCGCTAGGAAGCTGCAGCTGCTGACAGAAACACATCATCTCACATCCCACAGGAAGCGGTGAGCAGCTGCCCTCCCAGCGGGGCTCTCTCCCCGACACGTCTTCCCTTACCCATACCCTGGGGCACCAGGCTTTTGGTCTGGTTGTAGAACATCAGGTAGATGCCGGAGAAGGGCGCGTCACGCAGGAGGGTCGCTGTGAGGCCACTGAAGAGGCCCCGGTGGCCCTCACTGCGGTAGATGCTCTGCAGGGCCGTGAACATGCTCTCGTAGCCGTATCTCCCGCTCTGCAGGGGGAGCACAGAACCAGTGACTGCTTGGCAATCCTCCCACTGAGGCCCGTCCAAACCCACCAGAGATTATATGGACCTGCCAGGAGCCTGCCTATGACCAGCAACTCTGGTCATGTAGCCTCTGTTTGATTACAGGCCAGCACTGACGCTGACGGTCAGCACGCGCGGTGGCTGTGTTTACCTCCCCTGCATCTGGCCAGAGAGCAGACCGACTCACCTCGTACCGTGTCTTGATCACTGTGATAGGCGACATGCAGACCCCTGCAATGGAGCGAGAGCCCACGCCAAGCAGGACTGACTCCAGGGCAGTAGGGGGATGGCCTCGCAAGAAATACTGCTTCAGAGAGTAGAAAGTGCCAAAGTAGATTCCCATGCCGGGCACACATCTCACGATGGACTGCAGGAAAAGTCAGAGGGAGGCACGGAGTCAAAGATCCAACACTGCAAGGAGTGTCTCAGCTCAGTGCTCCCGGAAGGCCCCAAGATGCTTGCACGCAGGTGGTTTAAGGGATGGCAAGAGTGCCAATAAGGGCATGGGGAAGTGAGATAAGAGGGTGGGCAACTTATAAATGTCTTTGGCAAACACTAGGAATCAGAACAGAACTCTTCACCTGAGGAGGCAGGGAAGTAACAGTGAACTTATGGATGTTTCTGGAACTGTATATTTAGTAATTCTGGACTACTGTTAACCACAGGTGACTGAAATCATGGAAAAGATGGGAAGTGCTCTACTCTTGTATCCTTAGGAGCTGGAGAAGTGAATGGGAAATGGCTGGTTACTGAGGGAGAGGGTGTGGCAGGAGAACCCAGACCCAGAGGCAGCTTACAGGAGACATTCCTTTCCAAAGACCCAGAGGACTCTCAGTGCGCACGACCTTCAGGAACACGGCCAGCATCCCCACACGCCTGGACCTGAAGGTCAAATGGAGAGGGGAGACTATCACTCAGACAACTTCCTCACAAAGAAATTCACACTCCAAGACCCCTTAGTGTGGAATGTGAGAACACCTCAGAATCCCTACAATGGAACTTCAAATGTTCTGATGTGCCACATGCTCACTCTTTGGCATGCAGGTTTACTGTTCATTTACACGGAGCAATCAGAGGGCCTCCCAGGTTATAAACATTTTGCCTGCTTCCTGCAATGGTAAGTTCAACATGGAGACCAACATGGACACTGAGCTCTGGCAGCGTTTTCAGAAACCGCCCACTGCATGTACCAGGCAGTGCAGCCACAGCATCAGAAGCCAACACAATCAAATGCAGCGGTCACCAAGACAGCTCAGGTAAGGACTCCAACTTAATTCACAGCCAATATAAATACAAATGTTTACAAAAAAGAGTGTGTGCAAAAGTTGGGCCTGGTTTGAGTGCCTCTCTGAGCCCCAGTGAAGTGCAGTTGGGCAGCACAGGGAAGGTACTCCCCGGTGGGGTCAGTGCTGTTCAGGGAGCACAGCACAGCAGGTCCTACCCGTGCTCTGCGGGCTGCAGAGTCTGCAGGCGGGTTTTAAGGAGATCCAGAGGCTGGAAGAGCAGGGTGGAGCAGGTGCCACTGATGGAGCCACACAGGAACGCTTTGATCCCCGGATGCAGCTGTGGGACAAGAAGACACAGGGTCAGCCGCTCAGCCTTTAGCCAGACCTGGCCCAAAGTCAGCCTTCACCAGGCGCACTCAAACGAACCTGTGAGGAGTGTAGCCAGAAGTAAACCAAGCTGACTGCTGTGGAGGACACTGTGGGTTGCTATTGGACGTGTTCACGCTCAGCACCCTGTCCTATTTCCAAGCTACCGACCATGCTTCCTTGTTACTCAAGGCCTGGCATGATAGCCTAGGAGCTAAATCCTCACCCTGCATGTGCCAGGATCCCATATGGGTGCAGGTTCATGTGACAGCTGTTCCACTTCTCATCCAACTCCCTGCTTGTGGCCTGAGAAAGCAGTCGAGGATGGTCCAAAGCCTTGGGATCCTGCACCCACGTGGGAAACCCGGAAGAAGCTCCTGTCTTCGGATTGGCTCAACTCCAACTGTTGCAGTCATTTGGGGAGTGAACCATCACACAGAAGATCTTTCCCCATCTCTCCTTCTCTCTGTAAATCTCCCTTTCCAATAAAAATAAATAAATCTTAAAAAAAAAAAAGGACGTTACTATCTCTTTATCTTTGCAAAAGCAATTGAGCACAACACTTTTACTGTGAACTGCAGGACCTGCAGACACTTGTAGAAAAGGCAAATGAAACCTTCAGTTCAGCCACAATGAGACATGCAAGAGCCATTTTCTGTATCATCTGTGGATATCCTTGGCTTCACACTGTCCCATTCTGGCACTGCCACTCACCTCAGGGCACCTGAGCAGGTGATAGCCAATTCTGTAGCCAAGGGGCCGCTCTCGGTTGCTGCCTGCCCATCAGCCTGTGCAATGTCACCATGTGCTGGCTGATCTGCAGACCCTGCCAGACAGGCAGGGCAGGATACCTCCAAGACCCACTCTATCTCCCTGGAGCTGTTTCAAGTCAGCCGCTCCCAGCACTGGGTTATCACAGCACGACAGGCCCCTGCCACTCAACAGAACTGATAAACAGTCATGAAAAAAATTTCTAAAAAACCCAGCTCAGGGTGGAAGGGCCAGCATTTGGCCTAGGGACGGAAGCCCCAGGTGAGACACTGGCACAGTATGTAAGAGGGTCTGGGCTTGTATCCCAATTCCAGCCTTCCTGCTGGGGTACCCCAGGGAGGCAGCGAGTCATCGGGTTCCAGGGAGAACTGGATTACATTTAGAACCCCGCCTTGAGTCTGGCGCAGCCCCTGCTGTCGTGGGCATGTGGGGAGTGAACCAGCAGATGGAAGAGCTAACTATCTTGGGTCACTCTGCCTTCAAAAAACCAACAAAACAAAGAAACCCAAGAGAGAAGAAAAAGCCCTTTTTTCTCAAGACACTTGGCAAATTCCACCTCAAAAAAAAAAAAATCTCTTCCTTCATGAAATGCATTTGCACTGTCCTTGTTGTTCCATGACATACTAAGGTCCCATAAACATTACAACGAACATCAAGTTTCTTGTCATACTCCTCACAGTTTCCTACCTGGAACTGAACTCTGTCATCTGTGACGTTTGTTTCACACAGAAATCTATCAATTCTACCAAACGAGCAAGTCTGGAAGAGGATAAGTCCACATGAGCTCCCAAAGACTCCAAGGTAGCTGGATGGGACACAAGCAGAGCCGGCAAAGGTGTGTGGGTCGCTGTCGGGTTCCCGGGTTCCCCACCCTCATCCCAGGCTTCCAGGCAGCTCCCTCACAGGCAGGGCCTCTCCATTCAATCGGCACCTCCCTCACCCAGGGCCTCGTCTTCCCTGTCCACCAGTGCCTCCACTTGCTGTGTGTCAGTCACCCTGGCAGCCCCAGGCCACCAGCCAGGCAAAGCTCCAGAAAACGATCTGCAATGGCCTGCCCGTGCCTTACCTGGCATCTCTGCTGCATTGGCCCGATCCCCTCGCCTCTTTCCTGGCTGCCCTTCCTGAAGCTTCTTCCCTCAGTTTCCCCCGGCATTTGGGAGCTCCTCCCCACAGGCTGGCAACACACCCACGCTCCAGCCCAACCCGGCCTCTCTCCAGATGCCACCAGCCTATCTCTTTTCTCCCCTCCAGTGGCCCACAGGCACCTCAACCTCAACATGTCCCAGATGGAAACTCCAGTAACAGTTCTCCACACACTCATCTCTTGCCCAGCCCGTGCGGGGCTACTTACTCCTGGCACCCAGACTAGCACCCTAAGAGATACACAAGACCCTGCTGCCCCAAGATCAGGCCCTGCTCATGGACCCCAAGCACCCCAGTCTGTCCTCTGACCTAAGCAACAGGCTCTCTACAGAAGAACAAGCTTATTCTGAAACGAGCAGGTGAATTACAGTTCCGGGATATGTGTACCATGACGACTCACAGGCACTCTTGCAGGAGGAGGCTTTTTTTTCTTTTTAAAGGCAAAAGGGAGAAGTCAGGCAAGTGTCCTGGAAACAAAGCCCACCGCTGACCGACACCACCACAGAGCTGGTGCTTCCTACGCAGGCCCTGGCTGCTCTCCGTATTTCCCAGCACCTGCCAGGTACTGGGGCAGTGTCTTTGTAGAAATGACCTTTGCTTCAAACTTGTGGTTCAGCAAAGTTACTCCTCAGGTTATGGTTAGCACAGGCAGTCCTCTAGGACAGCACCGGTCAGTGGACAAATGGCAGACCCTCCTCTTCACGCCCTGCTGGCTCCAGTGAGCTCGGTGTTGTAAGGGACTTCGGTTTGGCACTGAACACTTTCCTACCCTGGTGACCCATCCTAATGGCCTCCTTGCCAGTCTCCACCCTCAGCAGTGACAATGCACCCTCCACTCGGGTTCCACAGCAGCACTGGGCCAGGCATGACACACCCCGTCACTATGGCTGGCTCTTACAGCCTTTAACACTTAGACTTGGGTCTAATCGCTCTGCTTACACTTGACAGTAAGATTTTACAGAGACAGGAGGGAAAGAGAAGTCCTCCAACTGGAGTGGGTCATTCCCCAAATGGCTGCAACGGCCAGAGACGAGCCAGAAGCCAGGGGCATCCTTGAGGGCCCCCCGGTGGGTGCACGTCACAAAGTCCTAGGCCACTCTCCGCTGTTTCCCAGGCCACGAGCAGGGAGCTGGATTAGGAAGCAGAGAATCCCAGACACGAATCGGCTCCCATATGGGATGCCGGTCTTGCAAGGTGGAGGATTAGCCTGAAATGTCACAAACAGCCCCAAGGTCCTTGCTTTCCTGAGCCAACTCCTTCTACCCCACCACTCCAGGCCCTGTTCAAGGCCAGGCCCATTTCCCAGCTCCCTCCAGCCCCCAGCCCTCCCTACACAAGCTGTGAAAGTGCCTTCCTGACAAGGCAGGCACCTCTAAGCAGTTTCCTAGTGCTGCCCGGAATTTGTTTTAAAGTCATTGTCCTTCACTCCGTAGTTGCATGGTCGCCCCTTCTCCAACCCTGTGCATGTCATGTTAGCCGCAGTAATCAGTTCTCTCCTCTCCCCTTCACAGTACAAACCCACACACACCTCCCAGGGCCGGCTGCGCACCCGCCAGGCACCTGCCCAGAGCCGCACAACATCCGCTGGGCCCCGCCTCCACCTCCGCCAATGGCGGCCGGCGGCACGGCCACGACAGCCAATCAGGACGCGGAGAGGAATTGCCTGGCCCGTGGGTCCGTGTGCCAGCAGCCCAGCAGGTGCCCAGCTCTGGGGTCAGCAGGTGCCCAGCTCTGGGGTCAGCAGGTGCCCGGCTCTGGGGTCAGCAGGTACCTGGCTCTGGGGTCTGCAGGTACCTGGCTCGGCTCTGGGGTTCGCCCGGGTCTGGGGTCTGCACGTGCCCAGCTCTGGGGTCTGCTCGGCGCTGGGGTCACCAGGTACCTGGCTCTGGGGTCAGCAGGTGCCCGGCTCTGGGGTCAGCGGCCCCGCCGAGGTCGGCCAGGAGGCCGCGGTCGCTCCAGGCATCCTTCAGGTCGACGCCCGGGAAAGCGGTCCCAACCTCGTGCGGACCTCGCCCGCAGCGTCCCCTCCCGTCCCGGCCGGCACTCACCATGAGCGTTCCCACCGTGTCTCCCACATCCTGGGGCTGCAGCAGCGCCGGGCGCGACTTGTGAATCATCGGCGGGGCGCCCCGCGAGGGCTGCGGGCCCAGGGCGGCGGCGGGCCCCGAGGATGGCGGCCCGGGACCAGGCCCGGCCCCGGGGTGGCCGACGCGGTCCGGCGCGGCCCGAGGCTGCCCGCACACCGGTCACGGCTCCCCCACGCGCTCCGCGGCTCCGCCACAGCCGCCCGCCTCAGCTCCCGAGCGCGGCCCACACGAGGGAAAAGCCGCCGGAACTGCTCCCCGGGGCGGCTTTCCCTTCCGGCGCGCCCCTGCTGCGCCGGGCGAGCGCGCTGCCTCTCAGTGCCACCTGGTGGAAGCGCGCAGAACTGCAGGGTCCCCCAGCTGCTGAGAGAGAGAGAGAGAGAGAGAGAGAGAGTTACAAGCGTTTGCATGGAGAAAATACCCTGTATTTCCACTTGGCTGCGAATGTTTCTTCCGTATCTACAGTAAAGACTCATGGTTTTTGGGGCTCTCTGTGGCCAGTTAGCACACAGTCTTACCCAGATTTTTCCTATAGGAAGGAGAGAGTTCTGGAACCAAGGCATCTTGAGGAATGATTATATTGGGCCTTGCCAGTTTCCTTTTAGACTGACCACTGGAGCACTTACAGTGACACGTGTGGCTTGTGTTACATCAGATGGCTAAGACTCTGGCCCCTCTTTTCTGGACTCAGCCAAACTTTCTCTTTCTCTCTCTACGAGAGAGGCTTTAAAAGTTAAAATAAATAAACAAGCAAACAAATAAATACAAAATAAATCTTACGATAGAGTAGTAGTTAAGCCTCGGCCTGTGGTGCTAGCATCCCAATTGGGCAGCATTTCAAATCCCAGCTGCTCCACTTCTGATCCAGCTCTCTGCCTATGGCCTGAGAAACAGCAGAAGACGGGCCAACCCGTCTACTAGGTGGGTGTCAGGTTCGTGAGCCCCAGGGGTGGGGCATTCCGTGATGCTTGGGTCACCTGGCCTGGGTCCTTGAGCTACTTCATGAACAAGGCGGAGCAGTGGACACAGGCCCTGTCGTAAAAGGACAATGTGGCAGCTCATTTGGTGCTGTAATGGAAGAGCAGAACTGGACAACTACCCCAAACAAGCGATGAAAACGAAGAATCTCGGTGAACAGAGCCAGTGGACACTGGGAAGGTGACATCACCCTCGGATCGGTGAAACTGGCAGCATTTCAGAACCCTCGGATATGTACACACTGAGACTCCGGGTTGATAGGAGGTGCAGTGCCTCATCCCTGGGCACTGGGACAGGGGGAGAGTATTGAGTGGTCTCCTCCTTTGTCTCTCCCCTTCCCCCAGAAACAAGGAACAGCAAACTTGGAAGCACTGAGTTCACTCAATTTTCCCTAAACCTCGATCCTTCCCACCCTCATCCACCACATAATCATTATGAAAAATAAAAAATATATATAAAAGAAGAAGATGGCGCAAGTCCTTGGGTCCTGCACCCACATGGGAGGCCCGGAAGAAGCTCCTGGCTCCTGGCTCTGATGACTTCAGCCATCTGGGGAGTGAACCAGTGGATGGAAGACCTCTAACTGCCTTTCAAATGAAATATTTTAAAAAAAATAAGTCTTAACATTAGAAACCCATGCCAGGATTGAGTACCTCGCTGCTCTCTTTCCCCTCTCCCCAGTCAGAAACGCTGTACACTTGACCACCAGAGGGCGCACGTGCCCTGCCGCAGCAGCCCCTGGCCTCAGGTCAGCGGGAGACCTTGGCACTGCAGCTGACAGCGCAGGGCGTGGGAGTTTGAACCTGCCAGGAAAAGCTGTAGCCAGTTCTGATCCTTAACGGTGCTGCATGAAGCCCCGAGGACCAGCAAACGCGTCTCTGACCCAGCCAGTCTCCTGCACGAACTCTTCATTCAACAGTGTCATCGGGCTCCATGGCATTGCCAGGGCAGGAATCCTCGATTTTAGACTAGCCAGGGCTGCTGCTGGGAGCATTCTCTTTCGAGAATCCTAGAAGATTCTAGATGTCCTAAAAGCACCTGTACCCACAAGGCAAATTGCAACCGCGTGTAGGCAGCCCAGCTTGTTAGCATGCCTGGTTTTTCTTGTATGCCAAACACACAGCACACGTGTTTCAAAACAAGTTGGGGGAACTATAGAAAGAATGGAAACAAACAATATGATATTTTCCCAGAGGGGATGAAAGGTTTGATTCTATCTGGTTCCTACGCAGTTCTCTCTCAAGTCAGTTCCTCAGAATTGAGATCAGTGAGGGAGGCCCGTGTCCCCAAGGGTTGCTCTCTTTTTGATTCATAGTAGTTTCATAGAAACTGCCTTCAGGATTCCAGCCTCCAACTTGAGTCTCCCTCCCCCAGTGAATCAGTGAAAAACTGTGGCTTAGACTCTCCAACCGGCCAAATATCTCCAGCAAAAAAGCAGACCAAGCATTGAACCTCTGTAGCTGCGACTCTTCCAAACTCAGGACTAGGCGGTGATGCTCAAGCAATTCCCAGCACGCACTTTTTCCATTTCTGTCCCTTTTCCCCAACGTTTCCTCAATGGAGAGACCTAGACTGCTACTACCAAGGGTAAATACCAGTATTTCTTTTTCTCCCATAGGAAGGAGAGTTGAAAATGTCTTCCTAGATGAAAACAGGCAGACACTGGCCACAGTCAGACATAGGCCACAGGTTGTAGACTGCTATCAAAGTGAAGCAGCTATGGGGCCAGCCTGGGGGCAGCGCAGGCTTTCTCAGGCCATAAGGAGGGAGCTGTACTGCAAGTAGAGCAGCTGGGGACACAAGACTGACCCCTGTATGGGATGCCAGTGCCACAGGCGGAGGATTAGCTTGCAAGGCCTCCATGCTCCCTCCCATCAATAAATACGTATTCATCCAAATGTCTGACTGTCCCTTGACTCCTCCGTTTATCCTCCCCTGCCTTTTATGCTGTTCGTCCTGTGTTTTCAATCCACGGGAATGGGCTCCACAAGCACCAGCTCTCTCCAAGTGCAGCGCTCCCCCTAGGACACAGCTGCTTGCACAGGGCATAAATCCCCCCGGAAGAGTGCGTGACAGTGCAGTCCTGCATCTTCTCGCAGCTCTCTCGCAAGTACAGGAGACAGATCAGCCTGTGAGCCGGCTGTACTCAGGGAGGTGCAGGCGGCAGCTGAGGGGTTACCAGAGCGGCTGCTTGGACCCCCAGCAGCCTGGAAACTTCGGGTCCAAAGCTGATGGTGTTACAATCCTCAGGCCAGTGCGTGCAAAAGAGACAGCCCGCAGTTCTCAAGAAATGCTGTCCTGAATGATCAGCATCTTCTGAAGATGAAAGAAATCCCTCTGGACACACCTGTAGGAAGAGATTACCGCCCTGCGCGCGCGCACACACACACACACACACACACACACACACACACACACACATACCTCCGCTCCCAGGAGACAGAGAACTCGGAAACAGATGTCGGACAGCAAGTTCGGCAAGCCACACCAAGACACGGACTCCAAGGAAACTGCTGCGTGGTTGGATTTCGAGTTGAACTCCAGGCTCTGGGAGTTGAGGAGAGTTCATCTTCTTGTCTTTGGGCTGATCACAAAGCAAGATTGCAAAGGAACATGAACTCACACCCCGTTGCGTTCAAAAGACCACATGGGGCAAGGCAGCTGACACAGCAGTTACGACAGCCATGCGTGCTGCACTGCACAGGGCCTGGGTTTGAGGTCCGGCTCTCCCTTCCTGAGCCCAGCTTCCGGCTGGCGTGTAAGCTAGGGGTCAGCAGGTGATCTGCTGACTTCCCAGAACCTTCAGCAGGGAGGAGTGGAGTGACCAGCACTCCATGGCATAGTGCCATCGCTAGTGGCAGCTAAACTCACTGCACCACCACATTGGCCCCCTGCAGCAATTTTTTTTTAACATATATTCTCCGAAAGAATAGAGAAGCACTTTCCAACACACACTAACAGACCAAACATGATCAGGACATCACAGAAAAGAAAAATTACGGGGCAATAGCTTGTGAGCACAGATGCAAAAACCCACAGAGAATATAGCTTTATTATTATAATGATCTTCACCCAAAATAGGGTAAATGGCTGAGGTGGGTAAATAGACATGACAGGTGCCCTGAATGGAACATTATAGATTGTACGCATGCATGAAAATGTCATGCTGAGGGCCCGGTGCGGTGGCGCAAGTGGTTCAGGTCCTCACCTTCCACGCCCAGGATCCCATATGGGCGCCGGTTCTAATCCCGGCAGCCCCGCTTCCCTTCCAGCTCCCTGCCTGTGGCCCGGGAAAGCAGTCGAGGATGGCCCAAAGCTTTGGGAACCTGCACCCACGTGGGAGACCCGGAAGAGGCTCCTGGCTTCGGATCGTCATAACGTCGGCAGTTGTGCTCACTTGGGGAGTGAATCATCGGACAGAAGATCTTCCTCTCTGTCTGTCCTTTCTGTATATCTGCCTTTTCAATAAAAAAAATAGTAAAAATAAATCTTAAAAAAAAAAAAGAAAATGTCATGCTGAACACCATAGATAAATGTACAATTTCTACATGCTGATTGAGATTATGAAAAGATCTTTCTATGTTTTTTTCAGGGAAAACATATGTTGGTTTAGGACACACAAATCAGTGTAATCCACTAAGCTAGTAGACTAACAAAGAAAAACTAATGACCCCAATACAGAAGGAAAAAGCACTTGGTAACACTGAAGTTCATATATAATAAAGATGTTCAGAAAGCTGAGAATAGACGACAGCTTCATTAAGATTATGATTTTTTTAACTACCCTACTGCTAATGTTATACTTAATAACGGGCTACTTCTGAAAATAGTAGCAAATTTTTGAAAGTGGAGACTAACTTGTGATAGAGGAAACCTATTGACTGCCATAGGGAGGGCATCGGTCTGAAGGCTCTCCCCCAAGGTCCATGTACATCACTGGCGCATTCTTACGGGAGAGTGGGAATGGAGGCAGCGGCTTGCTTTGAGGCCACCCCCTCACAGGATGTAGTCCACGGTGGAGGAACGGGAAGAAGACTGGTGGAAGGAAGGCCACTTCTCCCAGCTCTCCCGGGGCACGTTTTTTCCTAGGTAGAAGATGAGGTGGCTGCAGCTTTTCTGGAATATGTCTGCGAGGTACTTCTTGAACTTCTCACCCATGAAAGCGTAGATGACAGGGTTCACGCAGCAGTGGGTAAAGGAAATGATTGCCGTGACATGGGTGGCATAGATGAGCCGCTGGTTCGTGACACAGCCGTCCAAGACGTGCATGTCATGCAGCGAAGTGAGGAAGAGGACCACATTGAACGGGATCCAGAAGAGCAAAGAGGCAACGACCACGAGCAGCACCAGCCTGATGGCCTTGGTCATGTTGCGGTTGTGGCAGCTGCGCAGCTGCTGTAGGATGCGGATGTAGCAGAAGAGCAGGATGGAGAACGGGATCAGCAGACCCAGAATGTTCATCTCGAAGTGCGTGAAGATCTTCCACTTCATGCTCTGCTGGTTGTAGAAGTAGTAACACTTGAGAATGCCATCTTCTGAGGCCACTTGATAGAACACAAGCAACGGGCTGGCGGCAGCAATGGCAGTGAGCCACACAGCCAGACTCAGGGTTGTGCCCATCCTGACTGTCCTCACTCTCATGGCACACACGGCATGGACGATGGCCACGTACCTGTCCATGCTCATGAGGGTGATGAAGAACATGCTGCTGAAGAAGCCAATAAAATACAGGCCGGAGACCACCTTGCACATCACCGCCCCGAACACCCACTGGTCCAGTTGGTAGTGGGTCAGAAAGGGGAAGGAGAAGACAAAAAGCAGGTCGGACAGGGCCAAGTTCAAGAGGTAGATGTCCGTGATGCTCTTCAACTTCTTGTAGGCCACGAGGACAAAGATGACCAGGCTGTTTCCCAGGAGGCCTAACACAAACATGACACAGTAGAAGGTGACAAGAAGCAACTTGCTCTTCCTTTGAGGGAGTTCCCCATCGCAGGGGCTTGAGAAGACGTCGGGGTAGTAGTCAGTTACGGCTGTCACGTTGGGCTCCAGGGTGTAATCCATGAAGGCAGGGAGACCTGGTAATGAAACAAATGAATGATATCGTTATTGGGGCAGGCAGTTAGTCCAGCAGTGAAGACACTGGTTAACACGTCTGCATCCCATGTCAAAGCCCCTGTGTAAAGACCAGAGCCACCCTCTGACTCCAGCTTCCTACTTTCCCAGGCCACAATCAGGGATCTCGATGAGAAGTGGAGCAGCTGGGACTTGAACCCACATTGGGATGTGCCCACGTGGGATGCTGGTGCCACCGGTGCAGGGTTGCCCAGCTATGCCACCATGCTGGCCCCACAGTCTCCCATTTGAATGTGCATTGGGCCACCTTCCCAAGAGCTGAGGAAGTCAATAAGAGACCACCGTTTCCAGTTGTAGTCATCAGACAGCTCTGTGGAGGCAGGAAGGGAATGGCCTACCATTCTCCTCCATTTAACTCCAAGCAACATAGTTTGGAGATAGACACATTCCACTTGCGGGGATGAATGGGTGGGGAGTGAGAATTAAGTGCATCTCTTAGATGTGAAATCGAGTCCCAGGCTCTCCATAGTCAAAACTCCCTGCTGGACAGAGTCCCAGAGCCCCTGCAACCCTTGCCCCTGCAGAGCCTGCAGAGTGAGCCTGCAGAGCGAGGACCTTAACCACTGCGCCATCGCGCCAGGCCCAAGGGGCTGAATTTGAAAGTGGGCAGTAGATCTTGCAAAGAATGCAGTAGACGAGGAGATGCTTAAAACCACCATGGCCAGGATCCCATATGGGCGCCGGTTCTAATCCCGGAGGCCCCGCTTCCCATCCAGCTTCCTGCTTGTGGCCTGGGAAAGCAGGCGAGGACAGCCCAAAGCTTTGGGACCCTGCACACGCGTGGGATACCAGGAAGAGGCTCCTGGCTTCGGATTGGCATAGCATTGGCCGTTGCGCTCACTTGGGGAGTGAATCATCAGATGGAAGATCTTCCTCTCTGTCTCTCCTCCTCTCTGTATATCTACCTTTCCAATAAAAATAAGTAAATCTTAAAAAAAAAATCCACCAGTCTTTAGAGCAATGCAAATCAAATGTAAATACTAGCCACACCTCACTTCAGGCAGAATGGTTATTATCAAAAACTGAAAGATAACAAATTCTGATGAAGATGTGGAGAAGAGGAACCCCTACATGCATTAGTGGGAATGTAAATTAGTTCAACCACTCAAGAATGCTCAAACTGCTCATCTCACACAAGATTACCATGCAGAATATAAAAGGATTTAAAAAAATCAACAGCAAAAAAAAAAAAATTACTGGGCAAATGATCTGAATTGACATGTCTCAAAAGATGACAGATAAATTGCCAAGAGGCATGAGAAAGAAATAATATCTGAGGCATCAGGGAAATGCAAATCAAGCCACAATGAGATATCATCTCACCTGTTGGATGACATATCACACACAAAAATAAACAAACAGAATTGCAACGACCAGCATGTGCATAAGCTGATTGGGGCGACGGACGGTGCCAGACCCTGTACTGCCAAGCACACACAAGAATCAGGTCTGGGATCACCTCAGATGAAGTTTCTTTGGAGATCCCTCCAAATGAACTGCTGATCTCAGAACCCCAACCATGAAGAGACTACATCAGCCAGTGGATTCTGAAGAGATTTCATTGTGCTTGGAACGGCAAGATTGGCAGCAAGTCAGAACTGTCGAACTATCAAAACTGCTTGAGCAGGACCCTCGGAGCATGCCCCACATCGGGAACCTGAGATGGGTGGGAGGCTGGGTGGGGCTTCTCCCTTTGTTTCTCCTCTGACCCCAGAAACGGGGGAAAAAAAGATGATATTAGTGCGGATACAATGGTCTTACCCACTTTCCTGTAGACTTTGACCCTTTGTACCCTAATCAACTAAGTAAGATTATAAAAACAAACAAACAAACAAAGAATGCTGGAAGAACGCAGAGAGAGGAAAATGCTCATTTACTATGGATGTGCATGCAAATGAGCGTGGCTATCATGAAAAACAGCATGGAGACGCCTCAAAAACAAACAAACAAAAAATCACAGGACAGCATATAACCTAGCACTCCCACTGCTTTTTCTCTCTCTCTTTGTTTTTTTTTAAAGATTTATTTTTATTATTTTTTTATTGGAAAGGCAGATATACAGAGAGGAGGAGAGACAGAGAGGAAGATCTTCCATCCGATGATTCACTCCCCAAGTGAGCGCAACGGCCGATGCTATGCCGATCCGAAGCCAGGAGCCTCTTCTGGGTCTCCCACACGGGTGCAGGTTCCCAAAGCTTTGGGCCGTCCTCGACTGCTTTCCCGGGCCACAGGCAGGGAGCTGGAAGGGAAGCAGGGCTGCTGGGATTAGAACCGGCGCCCATATAGGATCCCGGGCGTGCAAGGCGAGGACCTTAACCACTGCGCCACCCCGCCGGGCCCTATTTCTTTCTTTGTAATTCTGCTTTTCCTATAAATGAATAGACACATCTTTTAAGGAAATGGAAATACTAACTGTGCTGGTATGACTGACTGTAGCACATAGGCATGAATCAAATCATCTTACTGTCTTCCATAATTATGCACAATTAATATATGTCAATCTCAAAAGAGGGACAGTCACCTTCAAGAGGAACATTAAGGACATAGTAACTCTGTGACCAGGTTTCCATGTTTCACGCTATAAATATTACAAATATAAAAATTATAAGCAAACTATATATAAAGTATGATATACGATAGCCATGAATTATATTTTAAAAATGTAAATAAATAAAATCCACAGAAAGTACTAATCACAGCTACTACCTGTTAAGTTTTAGGTGTGGCGCCTTGCTTCTCTTCATGAATTTCTTTTTTTATTTTCTTTGTAAAGATTTGTTTATTTTTATTGTAAAGGCAGATATACAGAGAGAAGGAGAGACAGAAAGCGCTTCTGTTCACTGATTCATTTCCCAAATGGCCCCAGCGGCTGCAGTGAGCCGATCCAAAGGCAGGAGCCAGGAGCTTCCTCCAGCTCTCCCACGCAGGTGCAGAGTCCCAAGGCTCTGGGCCGCCTTCGACTGCTTTCCCAGGCCACAGGCAGGAAGCTGGATGGGAAGTGGAGCAGCCAAGACAGGAACCTGCACCCATGTGGGATCCCAGCGCGTGCAAGGCAAAGATTTAGCCACTAGGCTACTGTGCTGGGCCCTCTCCTCATGAATTTCTGTACAACAAGTGTCAATATCCCCTTTCTGCTTCTGGAGTTGCAATCGTATCTGTCATGAAGACTCAGTCCAGTGCCTCCCCCCTCACAGACTGTAACCTCGACTTGAAATCCCATCCCTCCACACCCAGAGCCTCTCAATGACCCCCCTTTAGGCAGGGAGAGAGGAAAGGTTCCAATCGTTCGCGGTTCAGGCCACCCAATTTCCAAGTTATAGTTGACTTGGTAGCAGAGTAAACCTGCTAGGTTCTTCAGAACAATGCCAGGGGTTCTTCAGTTGTCTGCCAGGGACACCGTCCCCAGCGTGAGGACAGAAGACCCTAAAGGCCTGCTGACAGGAGGCAGGCTTTCTGATCAATTCCAAGAGCTTTAATGCCCTCTTAGCACCCTGCAGAGAGAGGCTACAGTTTGCCCCCCCACCCCACCCCTTAGCTGAAGCCCAGGACAGTATGTGGACACCAGTGTGTGCCAAAGATAAGCAAACATCTACAGTTTGTGCCAGATCCCCAAAATATGTGCCTTCCCTTGAAGTCTGCCTGTTTGCTCAGGCAGGACAGCTCATTAACATACCTTCCTTGAGCCTGTGTCTGCAGCCCCGTGGGTGTTAGCAACAGCAGCAGCTCCTCTGAGGATGTCTTATTCTCTGAGGATGTTGTATTCTCCGATGCTAAACCCACAGAGGTGGGGCCTTTTTTTTTTTTTTTTTTAAGATATAACACCTGGGGCCCGGCGTGGTGGCGCAGTGGTTAAAGGTCCTCGCCTTGCACGCCCGGGATCCCATATGGGCGCCAGTTCTATCCCGGCAGCCCTGCTTCCCTTCCAGCTCCCTGCCTGTGGCCCGGGAAAGCAGTCGAAGACGGCCCAAAGCTTTGGGAGCCTGCACCTGCGTGGGAGACCCGGAAGAGGCTCCTGGCTTCGGATTGGCATAGTATCGGCCATTGTGCTCACTTGGGGAGTGAATCATCAGATGGAAGATCTTCCTCTCCGTCTCTCCTCTCTGTATATCTGCCTTTCCAATAAAAAAATAATAAAAATAAATCTTTTTTTAAAAAAAAGATATAACACCTGTACACCTCATGGGGACTAGATCAGGGAAAAGCCAGGCTGGGCTGGATTATTCCTATGGGTGCAACCTACAATTAGAGTGGGCGAGGGTTGTGTGGGCGTAGCCGCAGCATCAGCTGGCAGAAACTGGCACTGGGGGCTAGTTCCATCAAGTTAAGCTGCTCTAGCTTAGCTCAGCTGTGCCCTAGCTGAGTACAATTCAGGAGCTCCCCCTCCTCACCCAAGTGCTCCATTTTGCTTACTTCCGGCCACTTGGGCCACTTGGGCAATGAATCAGTGGATGGAAGATCTTCCTGTCTGTCTCTCTTTCTCTCTGTATATCTGATTTTCCAATAAAAATAAGTCTTTAAAAAAATAAGAAATACAGTCATGGGTGGCTCACTGACAGGGGTGTGTTTTGGTATTCTGTCATGGTGCAGACACATTAACACTTTCCAACATGGCAGAAGACGCACGGGTCAAGGTGACACCTCAGCCACAGGTGCAGGATCAATGCCTAGCCCTTGCTTTGTGGCCCCCAAATCCAATTATTTCACCTCAAAATGTCATCTTCTAGAAATAGCTGCTTGGGGCCTGTGATGTGGAGTGGTGAGTTAAGCCACCATCTTTGATGCCAGTATTCCACATGGGTGCAGTTTGAGCCCCAGCCACTGCAGTTATTCGGGGAATAAACCAATAGATGAAATAGCTCTTTCTGTATCTCTCTCACACACACTTTGAAATAAAATAGCATAAATGCTAAAAGAAGAAAAAGGAAAGAAG